ATTAATATCGCGGGACGTATCAATTTGTGTGCGAGGAATTTCCAGATGATAGCAATTAAGGATAGTTGATTCCATAACTCAAATAATTCGTATTTTGCAGAAGTGCGACCAAGCGTGACTGAACCAAAGCTATCATTATTATATGGGTTAACTGAGAGAAACCACACGAGAGTATTACATGGAATTCATTTGGATGCAGTTTACAGGATTTAAACAGTTTAAGGAACTACCCCATTCTCTGCAATTTTGCTCTAGAAACTGCTGGTAGAATATTGCACACTTTTATCGGGACACCCTGTAGAATCTGCCTTCAACTTCTTGTACAGCTTTTGATGGTCTTTTCCGTGCTGCCCACTGATCGGTGATTGGCCTTGAGTTACTTTGTGAGACCACGAAAGAGCATTACTCAGAATAAATATGTGTAATGGTGGTAGGTCGAGAAGGACCTCCAACGCTGCAGTGAGAGCTGTACCCTTAGTCCCCGTGGTTTCCAACATCAACTGGTAGTTTCTATTCAGTTACAACTAGTCATTCTCCGATTTGTCGCTGGAGTTATACGAACTAATATATAAGCGAGAATTTGACAAACCAAATCAAGGTATATTACTATCTATGGTTTGGCAACATCGCAACTAGATGCAGAAATTATGATAGTGATGGTAGTATGGTAAAAGAAATGACTACTTAACAATGAACTATTCTCATCATTAAAATAACGCAAAATTGCATTGCTGCGATGAACAGTGTCACAGTAATATACAGTTTATGTTATGTTCATATAATGTTGAGCATTCTTTTGTGTAAACAAGAAAAAAAAGCTCGTGAAGCAGCATTATATACCACAGTATTACCACCCGAAATGCAACTTTGAGGTTCTAGAAAATAGCAAGCAGAGGGTTCCTTAAAGAAAAAATAATATTTTCGTACAAGTTACATCCTAATCTTTTATTTTAAAATAAGAAATGAAATATTTGCGATATAGACGACCAGAAGTCGACGTCAAGCCGAAACCGGGTGATAGGCAAAGTCATAACAGCTATCAGAAAAATATTTAAAAAAAATGTATGTATGTGTTTTGAAAATTATAGGTCTTTGAAAAAGATATAGAAATTTCACACCCTACGGCAGTCTGTCAACTCCTGTTACTACAAATATTAACTTTTTTTGGATTTTATTTTTACAATGTAATGATGAATAATGCATCTTCAAACTCAACCTTACTGCCAACTTTTCTCGTTCAGGAAAAATTGCCACTTATTTCCCAACCAAGTATTCCAAAGTAAAACTTTGCTCAACTTTAACTGGCTGTACTGGAAAAAAATGTACTACGAGAGTTTGGCAAGTAACCTTAAAAGTTGGCAAATTTAATACGGATTCCAAAATGGTATAACACTTAGAAGATTACTCATTAACTTATGCACAATTTTTATTTGAAGAAAAACTGATGAAAATTTTTCAAAATTTCCTAATTAAACAGCGATTATGAAAACGCACAAGGGCCCTTAAGGATAACTGTTTGCACAACAGTAGGCGTCAAAATGCTGCTGATGATGATTTACCTTTACAGCAAATGCTCAAACTGTTTTCCTTCAGCCGCAATACACGCTCGACATCTTCTTAAAAAAGATCGGGTTATTAAACGAGCGAATCCACGGTTATTAACAAACTCAGCTGCTTCCAATAGTCTTTACCGTAGCTCAGCTACATTTTGAATCGGCTTGAAATACACTTTTTCTTTAGAGTTCCCCAGTAAAAAAATCTAAAAGATTCAAATCAGGTGATCGGGCTGGCCACGGTATTGTACCAGACCGCCTTATCCATCTGCCTGGAAAGTTTTGATCGAGATACTCTCTCACTGGGAGTGCATAGTGCGCTGGGCAGCCATCATGCTGAAACCACATGTCCCTGTAAATACTCAGTGGCACGTCCACCAATAAATTTTGTACATGATTTTTCAAAAAATCCAAATAAACTTCAGCAGTCAAAGTCTCTGGGAACTCAAACGGACCGATTATTTTACCATTTAAAATTCCTGTCCAATGGTTTATCTTGAAGCGATATTGAGATTTATCTTCTCTCATCAAATGTGGGTTTGCTACGTGCCACTCGTGTAAGTTATGCAGGTTCATGTACCCATCTTTCTTAAATGTGGTCTCTTCCGACCATAAAATTTTTTCAAAGAACTGTGGATCTTTCCTGTGTCTTTCTAACATTGTGCGACAAAAAGCAACTCTGGGCTCATAATCCCGGGGCAGGAGAGGTTGAACCGCTGTATGTGGTATGGATGAAGCACATCACTTACTTGCTATTGCACACTTTGATGATACCGATCAGTACTCCTTCGTTTACTGCGCATCTTTACATGTTCGTGCTTCTTGATTTCGTACTGTTACTAATTTTGGATTCGTGAACTGGACTGTTGATCGCTTGTGATTTGGATTTGGACTGTTTAATTGCTCTTCAAAACAACATTTGCGTTCCTTAGATTATCTTTGATAGTGTGATTGTGCAGTGCCGCTATGTCCGTGTACACAGTACAAGAATATGCTAACATGCACCTCATTTATGGGGAATGCAGATGCAACGCTAGTGCTGCAGCGATACTTTACTGTGAGAGGTACCCGAATGCAGCTCGTCATCCAGATCATCGAGTGTTCACAAAAGTGCACCGCTTACTGTTCTCAGAGGGCTAACTACCAAACCAATCACACGGTGAGGGAAGATCTTTCCTTCCTTACGAAGACGTGGTGCTAGGAGCTGTCGAAGAAGACCCGAGTACTTCAGTGCGTGAAATAGAACTAAAAACAGGTGTGCCCAAAAGTACAGCCCATAGAATCTTGCAAAAAAACGTGCTCCATCCATACCACGTACAGCGTGTTCAAGCTCTTCTGCCCCGGGATTATGAGCCCCGAGTTGCTTTTTGTCGCACAATGTTAGAAAGACACAGGGAAGATCCACGGTTCTTTGAAAAAAAATTATGGTCAGATGAGACCACATTTAAGAAAGATGGCACGTAGCAAACCCACATTTGATGAGAGAAGCTAAATCTCAATATCGCTTCAAGATAAACCATTGGACAGGAATTTGAGTTCCCAGAGACTTTGACTGCTGAGGTTTATTTAGGTTTTTTGCAAAATCATTTAGAAAATTTATTGGAGGACGTGCCATTGAGTATTTACAGCGACATGTGGTTTCAGCATGATGGATGACAAGCGCACTATGCACTCTCAGTGAGAGAGTATCTCGATCAAAATTTTCCAGGCAGATGGATAGGGCGGTCTGGTACAATACCGTGGCCAGCCCGGTCACCAGATTTGAATCCGTTAGATTTTTTTTACCGGGGGACTGTAAAAGAAAAAGTGTATTTAAAGCCGATTCAAAATGTAGCTGAGCTACGGCAAAGACTATTGGAAGCAGCTGAGTTTGTTAATAACCGTGGATTCGCTTGTTTAATAACCCGATCTTTTTTAAGAAGACGTCGAGCGTGTATTGCGGCTGAAGGAAAACAGTTTGAGCATTTGCTGTAAAGGTAAATCATCATCAGCAGCATTTTGACGCCCACTGTTGTGCAAACAGTTATCCTTAAGGGTCCTTGTGCGTTTTCATAATCGCTGTTTAATTAGGAAATTTTGAAAAATTTTCATCAGTTTTTCTTCAAATAAAAATTGTGCATAAGTTAACGAGTAATCTTCTAAGTGTTATACCATTTTGGAATCCTTATTAAATGCGCCAACTTTTAAGGTTACTTGCCAAACTCTCGTAGTACATTTTTTCCAGTACAGCCAGTTAAAGTTGAGCAAAGTTTTACTTTGGAATACTTGGTTGGGAAATAAGTGGCAATTTTTCCTGAACGAGAAAAGTTAGCAGTAAGGTTGAGACACCAGTTTGAAGATGCATTATTCATCATTACATTGTAAAAATAATAACAAACTCGAATACTATGATGTAGTCAACCCTGGAAAGAAGGAAATAAGAAAAAAATGGGAAGTGCACTGGAATCATTTTGCTGAATTATCTAATAACCATTATTCGTTCATCCATCCTACATTGCCTAAAAAAATACCACATATTTTTGAGTATAATGTAAATAGACATTATTCAGTCACCATCACTCGTTTGAAGCTAAACCATGGAAGATTTCCTGCTCATCTCAATAGGATAGGCATTCTGGATACTTGTGTACGTATTATGCGATTGCGATAGTGCATCAATTGCAGATCTAAATCATATTATTTTTGCTTGCGGAAAATACAATCAAGAACGCATAGTTCTTATTGATATACTGAAATCCAAATATCAACTACCACCAATATAAGCTCCCTTTTAAGCATAGGTGACAAGCAAATCCTAGATTGCTTGGTAAACTTCTTCCAAAGAATCAAAATGAACGTTTAGCTCACAATTAAACTTTAGATCAATAGTAACACACATCTGTGGCAAATGGATAACTTCCAATGCCAAACCGATCGACAAAAAAAAAATTGTAAAAATAAAATCCAAAAAAAGTTAATATTTGTAGTAACAGGAGTTGACAGACTGCCGTAGGGTGTGAAATTTCTATATTTTTTTCAAAGACCTATAATTTTCAAAACACATACATACATTTTTTTTAAATATTTTTCTGATGGCTGTTATGACTTTGCCTATCACCCGGTTTCGGCTTGACGTCGACTTCTGGGACACCCTGTATATATAGTTCAGCCTGCGCCGGTACCCACATTAACGATACCTGGTGCCTCGCTGCGAGACAATCCAGAACCTCCCTGCATAGCAATGCAAGGGTCGAAGTAATCTTACAGGAACTTGGTGCCTCCTTGACCCCCCTAACGTCTTCTAAATAAAATTTTGTATCGAAATCTTAGGCGTGAGAAGCATTTACGTCTCTCGGAGTTTAAGAGCCTGCAGAGCTTTACATGGCTTCACACTTTAAGCCCTCGGTGCATAAGTAACTATTAAATATCTGTTATAGGAAATTGACAATTGAAAATCGCCTGTGAAATCTGGGCATTACGAATTGAATTTGACACGCGGCGAAAAAATATAAAATACGCGAATGGTACGCCTAACCTTCTAAATATAATGACACGCCAAAATTCAAATTTATGTCAAGTACTAATAGAAATAAGCAAGTTTTACGATATCGTAATGTATTTTCTTTTTGTTTCAGGTTTATGATGTATCAAAGTGTTCTAAGGTGGAAAGTTTGAGCTTAAAAGTGCCATGGAATCTGCTACACCCACAAAAACTCCCGTGAAACCATCCCTCAGTCAAGGGTTGGTCATGGTGCCTAAAAATGTTCTGTGTTCTTTCAACTCCAACGTAAATAAACATAAAAGAGCAGGTAAATATGCAGAATATAAATATTTTAAATTTTAATATGTTTCTCTTTAATACCCGTATCTTCAGGTCTCTTTCATCTGAGGGTAAAAAAATCTGCATCGTTTTCAGCATGCTTTTGATTACATTGGTGCATAGCTAAACATATTTTAAGTGAGCTGAACATTTTTTAAATTATTTCACAAGTTGAGAATCAGTTATGACACTGGAGGGATCTTTGTGTATCACTCAAAAAACTCAAATTATTCAATACTTTAATACAATAAGAATTTTTGTATAGCTTCAAATAATATTGTGTAGAGGAGCGATAAAAGATTAATTTTGTATTGTATCATATACAGGGTTTGTCCAGAAAGTAATAGGACTGAGTCGATTTAAAAAAATTATTGAGCCAATCGTTACAATTCTTTAAAAACTTTCAAAATAGTCTCCTTCTGGGTCGATGCAGCGCTGCCAGCGCGATTTCCAAGCATTGAAGGCGTCACGGAAGGCATTCTGCGTAAAAAAAATGTGTACCGCCACTGACATTTTTCAATTTGTTTTTGTCTCCTGAGTTTCTTTCATATTTCACTTCGTTTGTGACATAAAAAATAAAAAGCTTGATATTGCATGTCCCTGGGACAATAGCATAATAAAACATTAAAACTGCCAAACTAATTAAGCGACTAACATTAGAGGAAAGTCATCTCCTGAATTTTTTCGCATAGATTGAAAACTAATTTCGATAAAACAAAATAACATAAAATAATCGTATAACGTAATAATTTATAACAGCAATGTGTTAAAAGTAACAAAAAATAAGAGTGCCATGAAAGGAAAAACTATTGCTACTCAAACAAATCTGACTCTGATACAGTGGCGGCTCGTGGCAAAATAAAACAGGTGTTCCGCAAATCGGAACTTACCTATTTTTTATTATTATATTATTATTTTCCGTTGGAATTTTCCATGGTCGAAATAAATTCCTTTTCAATGGACAGCATCGACAACGCTGTAAGTCGATCCCGGGTCATAGTATTTTGAAGAAACGTCCTGATTCTTTTCAATGTTGAGAAATTTCGCTCAGCCTCTGATGTTGACATAAGAGTTGTAACAATAATTTCTGATAGCTTTTTTGTTTCTTTTAGTGTTTCATCCAAACTATTGTGTATCAACAGAGTTCCATGTAAATCTCGGCAATCATTCCGTGCATAAATAACAGACAACTCTGTCTTTAAACGACTTTTATCTAATTCGGGATAAGCCAAGCAGGTATACTATAACTATCTAAAACTGTAATGACGGTACGGTGATGATTTCCCGTAATGCCTATCAAAGTCTTTCAAAACGCAAAAAAGATGTGGAAAATTGTAATGTGTAAGTTTGAACATGACCTTTCTTCAGAAAAGCCCGTCTGGCGCAGCTAATAGATATCTTTCATGGGCAGATTATTCAGTAATAATTTTCTCACATATACTATAACTATCTAAGACTGTAATGACTCATCGATGTTCACGTGAACATCACTTAACTACCAGTAGTCGGCTGTTCATAGGCGGGGTATGAATGTTTAACATGGGTGAACTAGATTTGTCACATGCTTAATAAAGAATGGTTGAAACATATTGTAAGTAAAAAATTTGGGAATTACCTTTATTCATCGTCGCTTCCACTTACATCTGACAGTAATAAACTGTCGCTATCGCTTTCCTCGTTGAAATTGACTATAACTGGCTCTATGATGGTGTCGATGTGGTGGTCAAGCTGCCACATTTTTGTTTCTTCCTTCACAACATGACGGATAGCATTCTGCCAAGCTTCGGGCGTTACTAGCTGTATGGAAGTCTCAAGTAAAACCTTAACGTCTGGTAATTTGAAGGTCGTGTTATGGCGCGCAATATAACCCTTCACTTGAGCCCGGATGAGCTCTATTGGGTTCAGTTCACAGTGGTAGGGCGGTAACCGCAGCACAGTGACACCACATTGACGGGCCATCTCATCAGTCACGTAACTAATGTTCGCAGGTTTGTGCTGTTTAATTTTTTCATACAATTCCGCTTTCACACATGAATCGTCAAGCGGGATTCCTTTTTCGCGCAACCATTGCTGCATGTGACTTTTTCGAGATCCCATAGTCGGTACACGTTCGGCTCGACGACTATGGTAGGAAGCATTATCCATGACGATCACAGAGTTGGGCTCAACTCGCTGAAGCACCCCTTGAAACTAGCTCTCGAAGCAGCTGGCATTCATTTCGTCATGGTAATCACCTCCTTTCTTAGAGACGAAAATCAAGTCACACTCTTCTAAAAAGCCACTATCGCTACCAATATGAGTTACGATCAATCTTTGACCTTTCCCTGACGGTCCACAAAGACCTGTTGACAAACCTTCAATACTTGCTTGTCGGTTACTCACTACATTTTTGTCTATCCAGGTTTTTTTAACTGTGTGACCTGCATTTACCCATGTCTCGTCCAAATAATAGATTTTTCTGCTTTGTCGCCTATATTCAATCATTTCGCGTAGGTATTTTCGACGCCAGGCGACTATTTCCGGTCTCTCTATCAATACTGACTTCCGATTACGCGTTTCGCAACGAAAATTAATTTCGTGCAGGGATTTCCTCATTACCTCGACGCTTATTTGGGGTATAATTTCATTTTCCTTGATCGCTGCATGTACAGCCTTGATGGTTGGTATCTCATTCCTAAAGAAGAATGAATGTACGGTTCGCCTTAACGCCATTTTGCTATCGTCATCCAATTTAACGGCCTTTCGTCCCTTCAAATTAAACTTTGGATCAGTAGTAGCTCCAGTTTTCTTCTTTTCATGCACCACCCTGCGAATGGTCCACTCTGGAACGCCTGTCATACTTTCACAACGCGCTAGTGCATCTCCCTGCGACATAAGCTGCTGTGTAAAATGGAGCATTATTATGGTTTTCGTGGGGTGTCTCTGTGCTTTTTTAGATCATATCTGACTGGAAGATCTCAGCTCGTTAGTAGTAATAATAAACATTCAGAAATTAAAGGTGTAAGTTATGGTATCCCTCAGGGATCCATACTTGGACCAATACTTTTTTCCCTTTACATTAATGATCTTTATTACTACTTATTACCAGATATTTGTGTATTGTACGCAGATGACACCACCCTTATAAAGAGTCACAAAAACCTTCATATATTACAAAGCTTATCTAAACAGCTTGAAGATAAGGCAAACAACTGGTTTAAACAGAATAGCTTATGCCTAAACTCAGACAAAACTAACAGGCTAGTAGTAACTAGTAACTCTTCTCTTGCAGAAAACAAATGTGTAAAATTGCTTGGCATAACAATTGATAGCTCACTAAAATGGACAAAGCACATTGAAACCCTATGTAGCAAATTAGCCACAAACATATTCTTACTACGCAGACTAAAAACTTGCCTTAGTAATGAATGCCTTGTTAGTGTTTATTACTCCCTCATCGTCTCTCACATTCAATATGGCTTATTAATCTGGGGAAATTCTACCCATATAAATAGAGTGTTTATATTACAAAAAAAAGCAATTAGAATCCTTGCGGGAGCTGGTTATCGTGACCACTGTAGGCCACTCTTTATAAACTTGAATATGCTTACAATTTATGCAATGTACATCTATCAGAGCCTTGTTGAGATTCATAAGAACAAGCATAAATTCTCAATGCACTCGGATGTTCATGGATATAACACCAGGCATTCCAATCTACTTCAACCTAGCGCTCACAGGCTAAAGATCTCAGATAAAAACTCACTTGATGTTAGGGTATATAACAAGCTAAAAAACACTACCAAGAATCTTACTTTAAAACATTTTAAAAATACACTTTGGCAAGAATTAGTTAAACATCCTTTTTATTCCTTGAATGAGTTTATCGCGACCCCCCTATGTGTGTGATCTGGCCTACTACACCTTTATATTATATTTCATTTTATTTTTACCAATTATACTTTTATATGTATTGTATACGTCATCAGTAATTTTTATGACAAGTGTAAAAACAAATGTTTTGTTAATTGGCACGTAATATATATATATGTATTTCTGTTCAGATAATTGAACACGTTGAGCACGATTTCTTTCGCGTCCCTCTTCAGTGCTTTACGAAGCCGTCTACTTGTTCCCTGGCTTTCAGTACTTCCACTCGTGCCATTTGTACTCTCCATGGTTAAGTATAACCAAAACAGTAACCACAGAAACCACAACAATAACAATCACACAACAATTCTTATAAAAACACACAATATGCGATCGCTCAACGAAACACGTTCCAATGCGTTGCCGACGCCTATGAGTCTGCCGGTCGAGGCGCGTCTGTGATTTCATTGGTTCTACCGGCGGAGAACAATCAGCCATTATTTCCATCTCTGTCTGTGCTGTTGACCACCGCAAAGCCACAGAAACGACATATGTCGTACGCTATACGGCTGTACTGGAAGGAAGCCGGGATCGAGCTCTGATCACGTGTTGATCACGCGTATGAGTCATTACAGTTTTAAATAGTTGTAGTATAGTTTCCAACTTGTCATCAGGAAACTTTGTACAGTATTGTCCAAACTGTTCGGGAAAAAAAAAGGATGCGGCTATCAAATGATCTTTGACGTGAAATCTGTTATTTGCAGAATTCACTATATTTGTCGCATACTTCTAATGCGGCAACTCGGTGATCGTGATCGCATTAGATCTGTACGGATCTGTATAACTTGCAGCGCATGCTCATGCTTAAATCGCGCATTTGATTGTGTAGAGAGAGACAAAAGCAAGCGCGTGCGGCTTGTGTCGAAGTAGTGCACAGACCCTTTTCAAGTGGCCCATGAATAATGTTACGCTGCGGTCGCGACGAAAATGACAAGTACACAATTGGTCGATTATAATGCTTTCTCAGTACAAAACAGACTCGATGCCGTGCGGGGGCAGCGTTGCCGGTATTGTTTCTATTTGTGTGATAACATGGAAAATAAATAATGATCAAATGACTACTGCTTTTTTCTGTTAAGACAAAAGTTTTGGCAGTCCTGCAGCTCTGCAGAACTTAAGGGCCAGCCGTCCCTTCTTTGACATGATTTACTTAAAGCAGTGCGTAATTATTTGAAGCGTTTTTAAAAGTGGATTATTCACATACAGTTTTAAAGCTGTACTATCATTTATTAACAAGTGTTACGATTGAAGAAAGAATGCACAGAAATGTAATTTTGACAAAAAAAGAAACTGATAACATTATTTCTCAGTCATCTCCCTACACAACATGAAACAATCGGACGAAAAGTATTTAGAATATTCCTCCAGACAGGTTGTTGAAAAAAGGGGACATGCGATGTTAAGAACTACCCGATGTCCTCGTATTCCTCCATTTGACTCCCTTTTTTCTTTCAGGTTCTACAGGCACCACTGGCGATGAGTCCTATACCACAGACGAAGAAGATATAGACGTCGATGAGCCTGACATAACGATAAAGGAACATGTAACTAGGAAATTATTCGACAATCACGGCGCCGGGGAATTTGGCTGTTTCTCTGACATTGCTACTATTACTGACAAGGTTTGCATTATAAAAATATCACGTATTCTTGAGATTAACCAAAGATATATCTTAATGTCGTTCAGGGAACGTAGTTCAAGTAAAATTGAACGTAGTTTGTTAAATGATACTGTACATTTTAACTTTTCGTGTTTGTTGTTGCACTGCTTGTAGAAGCTTCACAGCAGACTAGTTGCATTTGTGTATTGTAACTTTCGTTCAATAATCAAATTAAAGGTATCGGCACCAGGCTCCAGAACTTTGATTATAGGGGGCTTAGGTAGCCATATTTCCAATTTTTGGCGACATCAGTGGATCATCTAAAATACCGATTTTACAATTATCTAATTAGCAAACCACTGACCTTTCATCAATCCATTCACTCATTAAGTACTTTGGTCTCACATGTTCGCTCTTGTTTCTACCTCCTGAATGATCTTCGGATATGTTTCACGAAGAGATACTCTATAGCCTACACTAACAGACAAAGAAATAAATATCTGTTGCTTCAAATATTGTAGGTTTAGTTGTTAAAAGTGTATTTGAATAATTTTAGGTGAGGCGGAAACCTGCGAAGACCTCAATGCATAGGAATAGTTCGGATAGTTCTGTATATAGTGAAAACCTAGAAGATGACTCTAAGGGCAGTAGTAGCGATTCGAAAAGTCTTGAAGATGTCCTCGATCGGCCAACCACCTGGCCAGCACCTATCAATGAGGTAGGTAACTAATTTTAAGACACTATTCTTTTCGATCTTCTTTTACATTTTTTGGTTTATCAATCTTTTTTTTCAAATGTTTCGTGAAAATGTACTCACATCAGTTAGTAATCTGCCATGTTTTAATTTAATAATCGTTACAGGTTCGTGAGCAAGCGTACCTGCGACTACAGAATGAGCTGAAGGAAGCAAATCAAGAGCTGAAACTGAGGGATCAAGAACTCAACAGATTGAGCAGGATAAGGCAAGACGTAGAATCTGAACTCGAAGATCTCACCGCCAGCTTATTCCAGGTGAGTTTATATGTCTGTTTCTCTCTACAGGACTGTCCAAACTATGTGGAAAATCTCTCTTATAATAGAATACCAGGAAATACTGCGACAAGTTCCTACTCGGAGATACAAGCTCCTGAAGGGTGCCATTTGAAATTGGTCTTTAAGAAATGTTTAAATAACGTTTGAACGATTCTATATAATACAAAGTTGGGGTTTTCCTTTGCACGACGTGTAGATCTTGAAAACATAAGCAATTTTTCTTAGTACCATTTACACCAATGTCTTAAGGGACCCGAGATAAAGGGCTCTGCAACATCAAAAATATCTGAATACCGTCCTGTAGCCGCGACATCCCGAGTGGTACTAGGACACTAGCTCAACCCGACGACAGAACTGGGTCGGGGTCAGTATGCAACCTTCAACCGACGGTTACGGTCACGCGTGTAGAGGTAATCGCGTAGACGAGAATCCCCCAACAAGCACTAGAGACGTGGCTAGAAAAGTGCAAGTATCAAAAACTAAAGTGTGGCAAACGCTGCGTGAAGAGGGGCTGTATCCGTTTCACGTCCAACGTGTACAAGCCCTTCAACCTGACGATTTTCCAGCAAGAGTGCGGTTTTGTGAGTGGTTGTTGCATCAACGTGACAATAATCCGGACTTTTTGAAGTGCATATTGGTGACAGACGAATCTACGTTCACGCGTAATGGGGTGAATAACTTTCGCAACACTCATGTTTGGTCAGTAGAAAATCCGCACGCTGTCCGTCGGGCACATTTTCAACAAACATTTTCGGTGAATGTTTGGGCTGGCATGGTGAACGGTATGCTCATTGGACCATTTATTCTCCGAAATCGATTGGACGGGATGCAATACCTAGACTTTTTACGCAACATTTTGCCTTTCTTGTTTGCCTGCGTCTGCTCGGTAGCGGTATGGTTTCGGGCAGAGACGTACTTAGCCCTTCTCGTCAACTGGAGAGTGAGTACTTTTTCCTTTATTTTTTTTACTTGGTCGCCCTCGTTTCACTACACATTACCTTTGTCATTTCAAGGGTAGTTGTTTCTGGAAAGGCAAACCCCAACTTTGCGGACACCCTGTATACTCAGTGATATTAGAAGTGTTACACATAGAAAAAATAATTTGTTCAACTTGATTTTTTGACAATAAGGTAGTATTACGTCAAGAATGAAACGATCACATTCTCACGAAATTTTATTGACAAGTAATAACGAAAAAAATTAATAATGTATTGGGCGACCCCGCACCTGAATACGTCTAGGCATCGACACAATAAGATGATCGATGTCTGGTTGTGGCGCCTCATTCCAAGCAACTCAAGCTTCGTGAATTAGCTGTGTGCAAAGTCCCACACATGTTCGTTGGGATTTAAATCCGGTGAACTGGGTGGTCATGGCAAAACATTAGTGCCTGCTTCTTGAAAAAAGTTCGTAGTACGACGAGCAATACGGGGACGTGCCTTGTCTTAAATAAATAAATAGCGTTTATTGCCCAACAGTTAAGGAAACCATTTACAGGACAATCCTAAGATAAATCAAAATAACAAGAACAGAAAACACATAAAATGCATGTCATTTCATCTAAAGAAAAAACAAACAAGAAAAAAGCAAAAAAACATATTTCACTCAGGTGAGTAACATATCATAAATTATCCAAGGCATTTCTAGCTGCTCCCAGAATGCTGTTCAAACTGTCAGCATGTATATCACAATAATTTGATATTGCATTGAAAGTTTCACACATCACATATATGGGTGCCTTCAAAAACAAATTTGTGCGAGCCCTGTCACATTAAAATGTTTTAGCTGTACGAGTTTGGATAGATGGAACATTAAAGTTTATTTGGGTCACAATCTCATCAGCATCAATTTGATTGTTGAAGAACATAATTGATGCACACTTCCTTCTCAGTTCTAAAGACTGCCCTTGAAACCCAGACAATAACAAACTTTCAGATATACCACGTTCAGGATATATACCGTCAACTTTAAAAGATAAAAATTTTAGAATTTTTATCTGTACATGCTCAAGAGAATCAATGTAGCAGTTGTAAATTGGGTTCCAAATTAACGATGCATATTCCAATTTCGATCTAAAATATGCAGAATACAAAACCAACACTGACTCTGGGCGGCTAAAACTTCTACAGTTTGCACCTTTTGAGCTATCTGGAGTGGAAAATTAAGTTTATAGTCAAAAACTACACCCAAATCCTTAATTGAGTTATAACGATTTATGTAAGCATCCCCAATTTTATAATTAAATTTACAAGCAGAAGTTTTCCTGGAAAAGCTGACTACACTACGCTTAGACGCATTAAGAAATAAATTATTCTCGTCACACAATCAGTCTCAGACTCAATAATCCTGAATAATTTTAAATCATCCGCAAAGAGAAGCTTATTACAACTTAAATAATGCACAACATCATCAATAAATAAGGTAAACAATAAAGGACCAAGATTTGAACCCTGCGGCACTCCCGGCCAGTGAAACGAGGGCGACCAAGTAAAAAAAAATAAAGGAAAAAGTACTCACTCTCCAGTTGACGAGAAGGGCTAAGTACGTCTCTGCCCGAAATCATACCGCTCCAACAGAAAATGAAATCAGCTGATGCGCTACCGAGCAGACGCAGGCAAACAAGGAAGGCAAAATGTTGCGTAATGACCAAACATGAGTGTTGCCAAAGTTATTCACCCCATTACGCGTGAACGTAGATTCGTCTGTCACCAATATGCACTTCAAAAAGTCCGGATTATTGTCATGTTGATACAACAACCACTCACAAAACCGCACTCATGCTGGAAAATCGTCAGGTTGAAGGGCTTGTACACGTTGGACGTGAAACGGATACAGCCCCTCTTCACGCAGCGTTTGCCACACTTTAGTTTTTGATACTTGCACTTCTCTAGCCACGTCTCTAGTGCTTGTTGTTTTTTGAAACGCAATCGATTATATGGGTTCGTTTACCTCTACACGCGTGACCGTAACAGTCGGTTGAAGGTTGCATACTGACCTGACACACTGACCCTGACCCAGTTCTGCCGTCGGGTTTGAGACCTTGTACCAATCGGTGATGTCCCGGGTCGCGGCTACAGGACGGTATTCATATATTTTTGATGTTGCAGAGCCCTTTATCTCGGTTCCCTTAAGACATTGGTGTATATGGTACTAAGAAAAATTGCTTATGTTTTCAAGATCTACACGTCGTGTAAAGGAAAACCCCAACTTTGCGGACACCCTGTATACTGGTACGACTTGAATCCATAAAAAGTTCATGAAGATAACTTTGAATGAGTGCTAATGCTGATGAATGGAATCCATAATAAAAAAGTTTATTCAAAAGTATGCCATGGTCCACCCTATCGAACACTTTAGCAAAATCGGTACTACATCTATTTGACCTTGCCGATCGACACATTCAATAGCGAACTGAGTGAAGATTGTTAAATTAGTTACTGTGGATCTCTTAGTAAGAAAACCATGCTGAGAAAAGGACAGAGATCTATGAACTGCCGAGTAATTTCTTTTATGCAATATTATCTCCAGCAATTTGGAGAAATTCGAGACAATATTGCCACCTGTCTATAGTTTTTAATATCAGTATTATCCTCTGATTTGAAAATAGGTGTCGCTCTAAAAAGGTTCCAAATATCAGGGAATGTGTTGGTTTCTATAGTCAGGTTGTATATTTTTAATAACGGCTTAACAATGACATGAATACAATCTTTGTCTATGAACGAGGGGATGTTGTCTGGGCCGGCCGTTACTCTATTCTTGAGTTTTTTTAGATGCAGCAATAATCTCATTTTCATGAATGCAATTGAAAAATATGTTAACCTAACTAGTAGGATTCCTGCCTTAAATAAAACAATTACGAGTAGACGGATCAACAAAAACACTATTAAAAAGAATCTGCAAATGCATTGACAGCACAGTGAGGAGCGTTCATTTTACCAGGAATCCTAGTAGTTCGATTTTTTGTATGCATGAAACTCAAAAAACGTTTAGGATCTCTCTTACATTACGTGTATAATTTTTATAGGCCACTAATATTTGACGCTTTACCTCAGATCTAAGACGTTTGTACTGTCCATGTAGATGGTTATTGTGACTCTTTTTGTACTTCTTGTATAACTTTGCTTTATGCTTGACTTTCCTAATAATTTCGCTGGTGTACCACGAAGTCTTGCTGAAAAAGGAAGCGTGGACGGCCCTCTAGATACCGCAGTAAAGTGGTTTGTAGGACATCATCAACATAACGCGCAGCAATCATATGGCCTTGAACAAAGAGAAGGGGTGATCGGCTACCATAGACAACGTGCCCCCAAACCATTCTGCCCTTCCAGTTCAAACGTTGACGGCAGTGGTCCGCAGTCAGAGGAAGCACTAAGCGTGGAAGGTACAAAAAAGTCCAAAGACTCGAATGCGGTCCACTTGCGTCTCCAAACGATCTGACGCGTACAGTATATTCAGATAAGAGATAGACCGGATGTAAACAAAAGGATCGGGTGATTTGCACGCTAACGCCGCCGTCTCGACGTAAAACAGGAGCCCTCATTGGTCAATTCGCAATTAAATGCCTATGCCGAGCGGCAGAGCAGTCGTATCAAGGCAGAGTCACATTCAGGTTCAGACGTGTTACGTATGTCGTGTGCATCATTGCAATTTGATATTTCTTTGGACGTTTTCGTTTGTTATCTTATTAAGTTGTTGAGTTTGTCGTTGTTGTTGTTATACCTTGTTATTGATTGTTATTGTTATCAACTGCTTGCGCAAAATGCCCAGTAGTACAGATACTGCCGATGAAGTTGTAAACTCCTGTAGTCCACCTAGGAAACGCTCTAAAAAAAGACACCTGAGTGCAGAAATGAAAGAGGTCATTTTGAATATATATATAAGATCGAGCGCGAGGAGAACGAGGCATCAACCATCAAAGAAATTGTTGTGAAGGTTTCTCACAAAGTTGGGGTGTGTCGCGCATCAGTGTTTAATGTGTT